AAGTCGTTAAACTTATTTCGAGACAAAGTTGAGGCGTGGTGACCCAGCCTCCATCCATATAAAAACTCTAGGCCAGACCCTTTGAGACTAGAACTTCCAGGGCAGGAAAATCAGCAACTGTAGAAGGTTATGGCAACTAAGGATGATATTGCTCAGCTCAAAAAATCAATACAGGAATTGCGCAGAGGACAATTAGAGATTCTCTTGAAACTAGACGTATGTTCATTAATAATTTTATAGACTGTTTTTGGTGCCGAGTAATGGGTTCATGCCATGGTTTCATTATGAATTAGGACTTGCAAGAAAAGCTGGAAGGAGGAGGAGGAGAAGGGAAGAAACCAGCAGAACCAGAGCCAATTCTTACTTGTGTTCACTGCTCTGCAGAATATGAAGAATCCAAAAATGCAGGTTTGTCTGCGAAAATTAGAAAAAAGATGCAAATGCAATGTCTTTTAACTATAGTTGGAAGCTGCTATTATCACAGCGGAACGTTGAGAGGAGTTGGATGGGATTTCAAGTATACCTGCTGTGGAAAGAGCAGCAAGAACTTTGAGTCTGCAAAATTTATAGCAGGATGTGCCAAAGGGAAGCACAGATCTGTTCATCATACCGAGTTTACTTATGCCAACTACATCTTTTACATGCAAGAGCAGGTATAAATAAATAAAGTAATCTATGATAACTTGTAAATCAAATTTAAATGCAACAATTGATTTGCATTAATTAAGTAGATGTTTAATGCAATGCATAATTATTGTGTGCAACATACATTGCTTTACATGATGTGGTCATATCATCATTTTATCATCTCTTATTATAAAAGTCAGAGAAAGCAACTGAAGTATGGATGGAGATGGACATTGAAGACAATATCACTGATAGATGCATGTGGGCAGAGGTCAGCTAACTAGTATGATATAATGGGATAATTATCGAAGTACAAAGTTTTATGAGTAGCATTGTGACAACATTGCTATCTTGCTACCAGTATAAGTACTTTTAGAATCTTTGTAAACGCCGCTGCAATATTGATATAATGATTATG